TTTTTGAATATTTTAAATTTTTATTCAACCTTTGTTTAATTCCAAAAAATATAAAGTAGCTTTCGTATTTCAATAAGTTTTCTTCAATAAAAGTAGAGACTTATGTCTATACGTCTCGTTATTTTGCAATAACAACTTTACTTCGCAAGTCATAATAAGAATGATATACAGAACTCTCTTAGATTTGTGTTCTAGCGTATACTTTTGAACTAAAGTAAATAAAAGGTGAAGTTAGTTATTCCCTTTCATCTTTAAAAGAATTGCTTTTAGAATAGGGGTCAAGAGCTCTTTTATTTTTAATATTAAAATTAAAGTTTGAAATATTATATGGAAAAAAATATTTTTAAATTATTCAAAATTAAACAAAATTGTTGCAATCGTCAATAATTAATTTGATTCACTCACAAATGCTTCTATTGTTGCTTGATGAGTTAAAAATGAAAATAAATATATCATTTCTTTTCTTTTAAAACATATTTTTTCATATATATATAGAGAGATAGATAGATAGATAGATAGATACTAAGAAATACAATTATTTTCTATTTTATTGGAGTTTTTTTTATCGTTATCGAAATCTAATATATAATGGGGTTATTATATTCTTATAAATATGGCATCTCTATACTATTTGATTTTTTCTTTTAAAAACAGAATATGGTTCCTTAAAATTAATATTTTTAGGATTAAAATATGTTTTAAAAAATAAAGAAATAAAATTATTTTTAAAAGGTTATTTTTGACTCGTTAAATAATAATATAAAAATATTTAAACTAACTAATAATGATGAAGACATTTTTATTTAATTTTACATAATTGAAGAGTGATATTTTTTACCTTTTCCAAAGATTGTATTGGAGTAAGAAAACAATTATGTAAAGTGCTATAGAGCATGGTGTCAGAAAATTCAAAATAAATAACAATAATAAACACTTCAAATCAATACATAGAGTCGTAAATCTCATAATAATTATAAGAAAAAATTATCTAATTACAGATTATTTTTAATCATATTTTTCACAATTTCTCCTTTTTTAGATATATCATTGTAAATGATCGCCTCAAGATTTTTTCCCTCCTCTTCAAATCTAAAATCACTCTAAGATATCAGCAATAATCTCCATCGCTCTATTTTGAATTACAATTTTTTTTCTTTTTTCAATTTATGATTGCAAATTATTGAAGATATAGTTCTTCTTCATCAATTTTTTTCTTTCCACTTTATAGGTATCAATTTCATTTTTATTTTTTTAGCCTTTTCATTTATAAATTAGTCGAAGAATGATGCATCTTCAATTTAAAAATTGATATTGCAAAAACATTTGAAAAAAGGAAAAAAAAAAAAAAGCTGAGCTGTTGGGAGCTCTGGTAAGAACTTTGGGTCGAAATTCATAGGTGACATCATCGTTAAAGAAATGAAAAACAAACATAACGGGATATATTTATATTTTTTCAGTGGCTCAACCAATATATATTCAAACTGTTAGAAGTAATAGAAAGCAAATATCACAATATTATTTATTCTGTTGTAAAATCAAGATTATAAGAAGAAGACAAGAGAAATAGATGTAGGAGAAGACTTTCTTCTTATTCAAGTATATATAAGTTTCATATGTATATATTACAATAGTGAATGAACAACCCTATTTATAGAGTGAGAAATCATTCCAAAGGTCACCATATTAAGTATCATAATAAATAGATACATACTTATCCAAAAAGGTTCATGTAACCTAGTGAATATGAATGGTTGTTCATGTACTAACTTTATGGACTATCCACTTATTTAATGGATTCATAACACTCCCCCTTGGATGTCCATAGATATTGTGCCTCGTTAAAACCTTACTAGAAAAAAACCCTATGGGAAAAAATTCTAGTGAAGGAAAAAGAGTATACATATCTTTTGATACGCATTATTTGCTGCCTCATTAAAAACCTTTCTAGGAAAACCCAATGGGACAAAACCTAGATTAAGGAAAAAGAGTACAGTGCGTATTTTGCTCCCCCTGATAAAAACCACAATTCAGATGGTTAAGTTTCCGCATTCCAATTTTGTGAACCATCTTCTCAAGAGTTGAGGCCGGTAAAGATTTAGTAAATAAATCTACTGGATTATCACTCGAACGAATTTGTCGCACATCAATATCACCATTCTTCTGGAGATCATGTGTGAAGAATAATTTTGGTGAAATGCTATCTCCTTTTATAAAGCCTCCTTTTAATTGAGCTATGCATGCAGCATTGTCTTCAAAGAGTATTGTGGGTATCTTGACGTCACACTTCAAACCACATCTTTCTTTGATAGAATGTATTACTGATCTTAACCATACACATTCTCTACTTGCTTCATGAATGGCTATTATCTCAGCATGATTTGAAGAAGTAGTGACAATAGACTGCTTCGTAGATCGCCATGATATAGCAGTACCTCCATATGTGAACAGATAGCCTGTTTGTGATCGAGCTTTATGTGGGTCAGATAAATAACTTGCATCCGCATGACCAACAAGATCTGCAGTATCTTTGTTAGTATAAAACAGACCCATATCACTAGTTCCCCTTAGATATCGCAATATATGTTTAACTCCTTTCCAATGTCTTCGTGTAGGGGAAGAACTATATATTGCTAACAAATTAACAGAAAATGCTATGTCAGGTCTCGTAGCATTAGCAAGATACATAAGTGCCCCAATTGCACTAAGATAAGGTACTTCTGGACCAAGAGGTTCCTCATTCTCTTCTTGAGGTCGGAATGGATCCTTACTCACTTCAAGTGATCGAACAATCATTGGAGTACTTAATGGATGTGCTTTGTCCATGTAAAATCGTTTCAAGATTTTCTTAGTATAGGCAGATTGATGGATGAAGACCCCGTCTACTAAATATTCTATTTGTAGTCCAACACAAATTTTTGTCTTTCCAAGGTCTTTCATCTCAAATTCTTCCTTTAGATATTCAATTGCCTTTTGAACCTCTTCTGGAGTTCTAATGAGATTAATGTCATCAACATAAACAGCAAGAATAACAAACCCCAATGTTGTTTTCTTAATAAATATACAAGGACAAATGACATCGTTTATATAACCTTGTTTTATCAAGTACTCACTGAGACGATTATACCACATGCGCCCTGATTGTTTTAAGCCATATAATGACTTTTGTAATCTGATTGAATATATTTCTCGAGATTTTGAACTACATGCTTCAGGCATTTTAAGTCCTTCTGGAACTTTCATATAAATTTCATTATCAAGTGAACCGTAAAGGTAAACTGTAATCACATCCATTAGATGAATTTCAAGATTTTCATGTACAGCTAAACCGATGAGATATCGAAAAGTTATTGCATCCATAACAGGTGAATATGTTTCTTCATAGTCGACACCAGGTCGTTGAGAGAATCCTTGTGCAACAAGGCGTGCCTTGTATCTTACAATCTCATTTCTCTCATTTATTTTTCGTACAAAGATCCATTTATAGCCAATTGGTTTAACATCACTAGGCGTTTGGACTACTGGTCCAAAAACCTAACGCTTAGCAAGTGAATTCAATTCTGATTGAATTGCTTCTTGCCATTTTGGCCAATCATGTCTTTGTCGACATTTTTCGACGGATAAGGTTCAAGATCCTCATTTCCTTGCATAATGTTAAGTGCAACATCATATGCTAAAACATTATCCTCTATGATTTTTGATCGATCTAAACTTATCCCATCACCTGTAGAAGAACTTATTGAGAGTTCCTCATTTACTTGAGTCTCGGGTTCACTGATTTCTTCAGGAATATCAGGATTAATCAGATCTTGAATTTCTTCGTGAAATTCTTTTGTAGTGTCATTTTTTGTACTTCTTTTTCTAGGATTCTTATCTTTTGAACCCAGTGGCCTACCACGCTTCAGGCGTATTTGTGATTCAGAAGATATGACACTTGTAGATGGTCCTTTTGGGACGTCGATTCGGATAGGCACATTTACTGCAGGAATATGTGACTTTGTTATCCTTTTTGAATCAGTAAATGCGTCTGGCATTTGATTTGCTATGTTTTGCAAATGGATGATTTTCTGGACCTCTTGTTCACACACAGGGGAGCGTGGATCAAAATGAGATAATGATGAAACTTTCCATGCAATTTCACTTTTAAGTTTATTTTTCTCTCCCCCTAATTGCGGAAAATTTGTTTCATCAAATCGACAATCTGCAAATCTTGCAGTGAATAAATCTCCCGTCAATGGCTCAAGGTAGCGAATTATTGAGGGTGAATCAAACCCAACATATATGCCTAACCTTCTTTGAGGGCCCATCTTGGTGCGCTGAGGTGGTGCTACAGGCACATATACAGCACATCCAAAAATTCGAAGATGAGCAATATTTGGTTCATGACCAAATACCAATTGTAATGGGGAGTATTTATTATAATGAGTAGGTCTGAGACGAACAAGTGATGTTGCATGTAAGATAGCATGACCCCAAACAGTAGTAGGCAACTCACTTTTCATAAGTAGAGGTCTTGCTATCAATTGTAAGCGCTTAATAAATGACTCAGCAAGGCCATTTTGAGTATGAACATGAGCTACAGGATGTTCAACTTTTATCCCTACCGATACGCAATAAGCATCAAAAGCTTGGGATGTGAATTCGCCAGCATTATCAAGACGAATTGTCTTAATGGGATAATCTGGAAATTGCGCTCTTAATGGTATCATTCGTGCCAATAATTTTGCAAACGTCAGGTTGCGAGATGATAAGAGGCACACATGAGACCATCTAGAAGATGCGTCTATTAGGACCATAAAATATCTAAACGACCCACAAGATGGGTGAATAGGTCCACAAATATCCCCATGTGTTCGTTCCAAAAATTGAGGGGATTCAATGTTAACCTTCATTGGTGATGGCCTACTAATCAATTTGCCTTGGCAGCAAGCAGCACACGAAAACTCATCATTTGTAAGAATCTTCAGGTTCTTTAATGGATGACCATTTGAGTTTTCAATGATTCATCTCATCATTATTGATCCAGGATGACCTATTCGGTCATGCCAAAGCACAAAAGTCTTTAAGTTAGTAAAATTCTGGTTTACGATAGAGTGTGATTCAATCATACTTATTTTTGCATAATACAGGCCAGAAGATAAAGTTGATAATTTCTCCAATACATATTTCTGGTTTGAGACAATCTTGGTAATACCAAGGTATTCAACATTCATTTCATTTATTGTCTCAACATGATATCCGTTTCGGCGAATATCTTTAAAACTTAACAGGTTTCTTGGGGATTTAGAAGAGAACAAAGCATCTTCTATGACAAGTTTTGTCCCCTTAGGCAGAAATATAGTAGCTCTTCCGGAGCCTTCTATTAAGTTTGAATTACCAGAAATTGTAGTAACATTTGCTTTTCTTCTAAGCAAGTAGGAGAAGTATTTCTCATCTTTGAATATGGTGTGCGTTGTTCCACTATCAATTATACAAATATCTTCTTGATTGATCATTGAGGTATCCATATATTCTTCAAGATAAAAGATATAAAAGAAATAAACATTATAATATTATTACTAAAAACAATACACAACCTTTTAGTTATTTACAAATCTAGGAAAACATATTCATACTAGTTCATATAAACGACGAAAATGAAATATATTTATATTATTACAGACCCATCACCTATCAGGTGATCTATCTTTCCTTCGGGGTTCTCAAAGAAATCCGCTACATCTAGATGAATGGGTTCAACAGTATCTTCCGTGATAAAGTTGGCTTCTGCGTTATTTTTCACCTCTTTCAGGGAAGCTTGATATAACTCAACCAGGTGCCTTGGCGTACGACAGGTATGTGACCAATGTCCTTTTCCTCCACATCGATAACATTTATTGTCTGAATTTTTCTTCTGCACTACGTCATGTTTTTCATTCTTCTTTTTACACTGCTGGTGTTGAATGTTATTATTTAGTGCAAGACGATCACCATGATTAAAATTTATTCCTCGACCACGACCACGGTCACGACTGGGGTCACGACCTTTTTCACGCTTAGATTGGTGAAAATTTGCCGTATTTACTTCAGGAAATGACATAGAACCAGTAGGTCGACTTTCATGATTTTTCATCAGTAAATCATTATGTTGTTCAGCAACAAGGAGATGTGAGATTAATTCGGAATACTTTTTAAATCCCATTTCTCGGTATTGCTGTTGCAAAAGCATACTCGAGGCAGTGAAAGTGGAAAACATTTTTTCCAACATATCATGGTCAGTGATATTTTCTCCACATAATTTTAATTGTGAGATAATTTTAAACATAGAAGATTTATACTCACTGATAGATTTAAAATCTTGAAGTCTCAAGTGGATCCAATCATAACGTGCCTGTGGAAGGACAACCAACTTCAGGTGGTCATATCTATCTTTTAAATTGTTCCACAACTCCAGAGAATCTTTAACAGTGAGATATTCCATTTTCAAACCCTCATCAAGGTGATGACGGAGAAATATCATCGCCTTAGCACGATTTTGATTCGACGCTTGATTATTTTCTTGGATGGTGTCTGCTAGACCCATCGCATCAAGATGAATTTCTACATCGAGTGCCCATGATAGATAGCTTTTTCGCGATATGTCTAGAGCAAGAAATTCAAGTTTAGAAAGATTAGACATTATTTAAAAATAAAGGAAATTCTTACCTCCGAGGCTTTGAAAGTCTTTACTTGAACTGGTAGAGACTCGTGCTGATAACATGTTGTAAAATCAAGATTATAAGAAGAAGACAAGAGAAATAGATGTAGGAGAAGACTTTCTTCTTATTCAAGTATATATAAGTTTCATATGTATATATTACAATAGTGAATGAACAACCCTATTTATAGAGTGAGAAATCATTTTAAAGATCACCATATTAAATATTATAATAAATAGATACATACTTATCCAAAAAGGTTCATGTAACCTAGTGAATATGAATGGTTGTTCGTGTACTAACTTTATGGACTATCCACTTATTTAATGGATTTATAACATATTCTGTTTTAAAGTAGCTCAAAAAAATAATAACACTCTCATAAAGTACACGTAATTAAAAATTTGATAATAAATTAGGAATTATTTCACTATTCTCTCCTTAAAAAGAACATTAATAATATGAGCTAAAGCCTATTTGAATTGATTTATTTAAGTAATTTTGGATTAAAAGAGTTTATGCATTTACACGGGCATGAAGTGTTTGTTTTTTTATAAAATAAAATAAAATATTGTAAACGAAAAGTAAAAAGTTGGGATTTGTGTTATTAAAGAAACAAACGTAAAGTGATACACTTTTGAGTGGGGTCCACCTCCAGCTTGGACTGTGGGCCCCACAGTTGTTCATTGATTACTTCAGCTAAATCACATTTCTCCAACGCGTATTTTACGCTCTCTTTTCCCCTTAATTACCTCTCATACGCATAGAGAATCTATTTCTTTTTTCACCTTTACAATTAAAAAAAAAGATAAATTATTATTTTGTTTGTAAAAATTTAAAATTATTAACATTTTTATATCGAAAGTAAAATACTTTCTAATTCAAATGAATTTGAAATTTTTAATAAAAGAAAATAAAAAATGATATACAAATACTAAATAATAATAGCAAATATAAAAAGTCATTTTGAATCCTCACTATTGTTTTACCCTGAGCAAATTATTTGTAATTTCATTTATTTTCATGTAAATATATAAATTAATTGATCATTGGCATGCTACATTGAGAATTTGTGATTAGCAAACAAAATCTTTATTTTATGCTTCAAAATTTTAAGTCAAAAAAGTTAATAATATGAGCGCGCATTTTGTGGATGAATTATACTAAGAAAATATTGAAATTAATAGATAAAATAAGGAAAAACAAATACAATTAATTTCATTAAAAGAAAAGGAAGGGAAAGTGACATCGTAGTTAATAATCGAACAATCGAAATATAACTTAATCGTATATCATATTAATTGATTTGATTTGATTTTAGTAATTTAAAAATCGACTAAATTGATTGATTTTAATTTTGATCAAAATTCAATTCAAATCAAATCGTGAACACTCCTATCCCTCACTTGTGGCGAGAGATCAGAAAAAAAAATTAACAATTTGTCACAATGTATTAGGTTACCAACAATAATAATATTATCAATGTAAGGTACACATAGCTTACTCCTGCTTTGACGTTGTTTTAATAGATCCTCGACTCAAGAAAAACATAGAAAAGTAGTTTGGAAAAGAAATACAAAAGCAAAAAATCCCATGTAAAGTAATGAAGGCAACGTGACTACATTTCGAAAAAAAAAAGAAGAAGCAATAACTATAATAAAATAGTGGGGTAATCAAAGTAGAAGAAGCAATCATTAGTAACAGAAATCGAAAATCAAAAATATTAGTATGAATATGAGTATTAGTATGAAACTGTAAGTAAAACAACTCAATTATCTATTAATTCTTTGCCCTAATTTATGTCCAATCATAGATTACTATGTTAGATCGTCTTTTTTATAAGCTGAAATTGCACTATTTTTTATTCTCAAAATTTTCACTAAAGAGATTCAAATATAAAAAGCAAATATACAAAATAGTTAAGAAAATTCAACATTTATTATATAAATAAAAAATATAATTTGACTGTGCATAACTAATACAATTTTCAAAAAAAAAATAAAAAATCAACCTTCTTCCAGCACCCTAGCTATGCCTGTTCTTTTAGAATTGGATAATTTTGCATTTCTATTATAAAAAAAAAATGTTATTAGCAGTGTTATTTGCTTTTTTTTTTATATATATATATAATAAAATAAATGTTACACTATAATATACTGAGTTTTTATGATTTGCCTGATCAGTCTGATTAATCTTCAACTTCCCATGATATATATATAGTTTATTAAGATAACTCCTTAATTAACCTTAAATGTTCCATGATAAACATAATAAAGCAGATTTATGAAAATTCGTTTTTCTCACCCAAAATTTTGGATTATTACTACAAATTTCATGAAAGTTCAATGTACTTTACACTATTTTCCCTTTCATTTACTGGATAAATAAAAGGCCCCTCAAATAAAAAAATTGCTTTTAATATCAATCAATAAATTAATTAAGTTGAGTCAACATTGATTAACCATAACTATTGGCAATCAGTTGTTAACTCGTTCTATATATTGAAAAGAAATATTACTATTTTTTAACTAAAAAGATTACGTGCTTGACCAAAATACGAACATATAGGGTGTATTTGGTAGGAAGAAGAATATCCTCTTAAAAAATAACTAAATTTTGTAGCTTAGTTAATATTTGATTCCTACGATTTAAACAATTTTAATCAAGTTAGTTAAAAAAAGAGAGGATAAATCTGATATTAATTACATAAAATCTTGGACCGTTTATTGGTTACAACATACATAGTACAGAAATCGGACGAAAATAATTCTTGGTAACAAAAAATAATTAGATGAAAATGTTTTCCGAAAACTAACACGAATAATCTCCAAAATATTTTCTCGAAAAATTAATCAAAATGCATAAGAGTTTTTTAAACTTATTTTGTGAAAATATTTTCCAAAAATTAAATTAAAATCAAATTCTGCTGTCAAGCTCGTCCATGTTGGTAAATTCCTCAAAAATTGATAAATATTCCCTATATTATAATTTATCTGATGCAATTTAATTCAACAATATATATATATATATATATATATATATATATATATATATATATATATATATATATATATATGGGTTGAAAATTGTGTTCAACCTGTTATGGTACTTATATTAGCTATAGCTTCTATGACTTTTGAAATTTATTATGTTAAACCTCCGTAATAATTATGTACCTATAAGAACATTTTATTAAAGACAAAATGATAAAGGTTCATTATTTTTTTAAAAAAATACTATATTTTTATTAATTTTATAGATAATTCTGATCGAGTTGATGTAAAAAATAATTGTTTCATGTAAGAATTAATAAGCTTCTCACTATTTTAGTGGAAATTTATTTTTTACCATGCATTATATTAGCAAAATAGTTAGATAGAAAATGAGTAAGGAAAATAATATTCCATAACATAAAATTTCACTAATATGTGGCGGAGAAAATCTTTGCTTATAATGGTGGTTAAAATTAATGATTTTTAAATATATAAATATGTCAATTCCTTTTAGAATAAATTACTAAATTAATCATAAAGATTGTGGTGTAGTAGATAAAATTATTTCTCTCTTAATCAGAAGTCTCACGTTTAAATCTTGAATATGAAAAAAATAGTTGATAAAGAAAGTTTTTTTAAAAAAAAAAATAAAATTGACTGACGTTAAATTGATGAGATCATAACCATTCAAATTTGGACATTAATTTTTAGTGAATAATTGGGACATTATGTACCTATAAGAATTGATGAGATTAGCTATAGCCTCTATGACTTTTAAAATTAATTATTTTAAACCTCCATAATTCTTGTGTACCTATAAGAACATTTTATTAAAGCCAGAATGATAATTAAAAAAGTACTATTTAGAAAAAATATTTTGTGGTTATTTTTATAGATATTTTAATTGAATTAATATAGAAAGTAAAAAGTATTAATTATTTCATATGTAAAAATTAATAAGCTTTCTACTAATTTAATGATAATTTTTATTACTATGCATTTTACCATCAAATTAATTAGGCAGGAAATGAGTAGAAAATTATATTTTATAACATAAATTTTACAGTAATCTTCAATAGAAAAAATCTTTGTTTTGTAATGATGTTTAAAATCAATGATTTCATGTATATAAGTATGTCAATTCTTTTTTAGAACAAATTATAAAATTCAACAATAAAGAATGTAGTGCAATAGATAAAATTGTTCCTTTCTTAATTAGAGTGATCTCAGATATAGATAAAATTATTTCTTTTTTAATTAGAGATTTCAGATTTAGAAAAATTCTTATACCGACGTATAAATAATAAAGTTTTGAAGAGATTGTAGCCATTCAAATTGGGACATTAATTTTAGTGAAGAATTGGGACTTTGATGTATATATATATGTTTGGTATGTGTCATTCCCCTATCACCTTAATTGTCTTCCAGAAAATATCCACACATGTCATTCTCACTTAATTTTCAGCACAAAACACATTTTAAGTCTCTAACTTTATTTTTAATTATTTATTTCTGGTAAGAAGTTGCTAACTTCGCAACTTGTTTCTAATTCCATGAAAGCACTTCTTTATCAAATTTATTGAAACATGATTATTAATTTTTGATTTCTTCATATTTACTTCAATGATGTAAAAATTATCTCACGTCAACATATCTTTTTTTTTCTTTAAATAATAAAAAATAAAAAAAATGAAGTTCTCATTGTGCATACCGGAGTACATTTTCTTCTATTTGAATTATAAAATGCGTACATCTTTAACAATCAACTCTCCATTCATATATATTCTTTAAGGGTTGAAAGTCGAACTTCGTATATTTATTTAAGCTTTATATAGTAGTTTCAGTGATAGGATACTTATCAATGGCGAAATCAGAATTTCAATTGAAGAAATGTCAAAATATAAAAAAGTTAAATTATGTAATACATATATATTATAAAAAAATAATTTCTTTTTTTTAATCTAACTATGCAATATAGTTTTCCGATA